AGGAGAGGGAGGAGGGAGGAGGGAGGAAGGGGAACAGAAGAGGGAGGAGGAAGCCCCACAGCCTAGCGCACTCCCATCAGATCAGAGAGGGGAACACATGGATTTCCCTTTGAAACGTGCTTCTGCCCCCTTCCCTGCTGACTCCTTCCCCTGCGGACTGTGGATGGCTTGGCAAGTGGGCTGGGCAGGGGCAGGCGCCCAGGTACCAGCCAAATGGCTCTTCCCGGGCTGCCTCCAGCCTGGCATGCTCCCCCAGGCTGTTACCCGGCATGCCCTTCTCCTTGTCAGGAGGCCTCGCCCTCCTGTTTTCCAAGTTTTATAACAGTATTGTTTGTTGTCCAGCAGATTAAATTCTTTGGAGGCTGTGGGGGGGGGGTGGCAGGGGAGGAGAGAGGAGAGAAAAGAGAGGAAAGAAAGCACAAGTAACTCTTTAGGGCCAAAAGATTAAAGGAGCTCCCTCCTGAACACCAAGCCCACCTATGTGGAGGAGACCTCGGCCGGCACCCTCCCTCCGTGCCTGCTGTCCGCACCTGGCAGGGCAGCACGTGGTCTGGGACCTCCAAGGACACACGCAGGGCTCAAGCTGAAAAGAAGTAACAGCTGATAGGGTCTGAAGAGCAGCACCACCGAGGGCCCCAGCCCGGTAAGAGGCTCGCTCTGGCAGCAGCCAGTGCCCCACACCCTGCTCGGCTCCCCTGCAAGGCCCCCTTTCACTCAGGCCAGCAACACTGGAAGACCCAGGCCACGGGGGACGGCAGAATCGCACTGCAGACAGTCGGCCCTTTCTCCCCAGGGTCCGCCCTGGACTGAAAACACCTGTGTTAGAGGCTGCATCTGTGCCACGCGCATAGGGTTTTGTTCATGTCATTTTCCCCTAACCGTGTACAACTATGTGCACAGCACTTCCACTGCGCTGGTCCTGTAAGTCATCTGGAGATGGCGTAACAGACACAGGAGGGCGCGTGTGGGTGAAGTGTGAATGCTCTGCCCTTCTGCAGCAGGGCTCAGCTCCTGTGGATTCGGGTGTCCAGCCCACCACAGACATAGGCATGATCCGCTCCATACACCGAGGAATAAGGGAGTGGGGAGCAGGAAAGAGTGGAGAAAAGCCAGCAAGAAACAAGCAGAGTCCTGCGGATGCTAACCAATGTTGCCAGCCCACAGGCCCTCTGACATAACCTGCACCTGGGGGAAGGCAAGAGCACGCAGGGTTTTTTGCACTGAGGACGACTCTCACCGCGCCACCGCGCCACCGCGCCCCTGATTTAGCTCAGACTTCCCGGAACCCCATCTGTACCCAATCCCAGGCAGGCTGCGGCTCCCAGGGCTGGGCCTGCCTCAAGACTCCTCTGCACCACCCTCCTCGTTCCTGCAAGCCTCGTATGTTCCTGCCTCTTCCACAGCTCACCCCACACTCACCCACACTGCCCATCAAAGGTCCAGGGCTGAGCAGAATCGGCGGGGTGAGCAGTGGTGACAGCAAAACACAGAATCAGAGCAACTCGGGCTGGGCTCTGTCCTGGGAAGTGGACTGGGGCGGGGGGCTTGCCTTTCTCCAGCTTTCCTACAAATAACATCAGCGCCTGTATTCAGTCAGGGCGGGAGTCCTCTGTAGGGAAAGGGCTTTGTTTTTGAGGCTCCAGGATCTCCCCCAGCTTAGGACTTCCTCTAAACAGAAGGGAAGACTGAGGGTAGAATTAAGGAGCCAGCTCCAGCTCCTGGCCCCCAGACCTCATGATCCCCAGCCTTGGGACCAGGCACACCATCAGGAACATTGTCTCCTGGGTCAGGTGGAGGCCTGCCTGCCTGCCTGCCTTTGGGGGTTCTGAGCAAAGCTAGTGCATCGGACCCTGGCCCCGCCCAAGGCTGGGCCATCCTCTTCCAGCCCAGGTCCGCTGGGACACATCTCTACCCCCGGGGTGGCGCCCCTGGGCCCCCAGCATGCATGCAGGGGTGCGCTCAGAGCCAGACACAAGACACTTGGACACACCGCCCTGCCCACTCTCAGCCACGCCTCAGAGCACCGCAGAAAAAGCCGGTACTCCACCTCAGCACCCCTTAAATGGGGTAACACCCGAGACTCCTGGGTTCTCTCACCCAGATTCCAATGCATGGCCCAGGCTTCCCTTACAAGTTGTCTGGGAGGCCAAGGAGCAGAGCTGAAGCCAACTTTTCAGGGTCTGACTCCATGTGTTCCCCCTGGCCCACAGGTGTGGCCCATGGGCCAGCAACAGGAGCCATGTGTCTCACGTCCCAGGCCAGGCCCAGGCACCCTGGACAGATCTGCGGGAAGAGTCTCAGAGACCCCAGTCTGAGGCCACACAGCAGGGGCCGGGCTGGCTGGCAGTGCCACACAGCCAGAAGCTTCCATATGAGGGGACCCGCTGGGGACGTGCGCTGTAAGCCAGCTCCCACGAGAACTTCAAAATTAGAGTCCAAGAGAGGGGGAATCTGGACACTGAGGTTTCCGTCCCCTCTGAAACGCACAGAAGGAATCAGGAACCCTCACAGATCAGGTCGACTTCCAAGGCCCTACTCCTGCTCCAGCCCACCAGTCACATCCCATGGAAGGGGCAGCTGGACCACGGGACCTGGTGGGAGACCCCAAGTCAGCAGGTTCACCTGGCCAGGACCGGCCTTGCTCAGCTTCATCCCCAACAGGGCGGATGTACCTGTCTGCCCAGGGTCGCCTGAGAATTAGCAAATGTGGAAGAAACCAAAACCAAAACCTATGTGGGACAAGTTGGTGATTACCAACCAATTCCCTCCACCCTGCCAGATCACTCCCCAAATCCCTGCACCACCATACTGGGGTGTGGGGGGCTCCATTACAAATCCAGGCACCTGTCCACTGGCATGGCACGCAGACATGTCCTGGACAAACCTGGCGGTTGGAAAGCGTCCCCGTCAGCACCAAGGGTTCCTGCACACGGGGCTGGGAGAACTGGGGGGGCAGGGGCTGAAAATGCCTCACAGGAGCCAGGCTGGGGCCCTGACTACTCCCTGGGCTTTCCTGCTTGAGTTTTAGTTTAGCTCTTTTTGAGACTGACTCAAGATTAAAATGCCAAAATGGAACGAGCAGCTCTGAGAGCTTTTGTGGTTTTGTTTTTGTTTTTGCCTTAGTTTCATTATCTTCTTTTTTAAGGTTATTTTTCAATAGAAGGCTGTAAAACAGGACATGGGAAGAAAGGCTAACTATAAAGGGAAGCCTCTGGCGCATGGGCAGGTCCTACACGGGGCCGCTGTGAGCACTGCGGTCACCTCCTCACCTACCGCCACTGCCCACTCGGGCCTCCCTGGAACCAGGACTGCAGCGCTCTCCAGTCGTCCAGCCCTCCTTCTCTCAGATGCCTCCCGTCTTGGCTTTCCCGGTTCCAAGTCTCTGACTATGCAATACCTCCTCTAACATCCAGGCGAGACCCCACACTAAAAGGCGGAACCTCCAAAAAGATCCCCTCAATTCGCTGTTTCCTAGATAAGGAAACTGAGGCCCCATGGAGCAAACAGTGAGTCTGTACCGATGTGGACCCCTCCACACCAGCGTGCACCCCACTGGCTCTGACCTCATCAGCCGGGAGACTGCAGAGCTGGGGAAGCAGCGAGCAGCACCGTGGCCTGGGTGGCCCAGCAAGGACGGCTGGAGGGGAGGAGTCACCCAGCCCGGCTCCCCTGAGCCTAGAGCCGCCCACACGGAACACAGTCCTGGGTCCATCACCACCGGCCTGTCCTTCCGGCCCGCCCTGGCCGAGAGGCTGGGCTGGGCCCGCCTCCCGTAGGCACATCTGAGCAGTGACTTGGCACAGATCTGACCGATGTTCCCGGGACTGCAGGGTGAGGCACAGTGACCGGGCGGAGGCATGAGAGCCAGCTGGCACCTGGTGAGCCTGGGACACAGGAGGTCAGGGAGGTCGGGCCAATGGAAAAACAGTCTGCCGGCGACGCAAGAGTGACACGTACTCCCAACCCACCTTCCTGCAAGCCATGGGGACCTCAGGAGGGTTTCCCTAGTCATCGGGAAACGGGGGAAGCAAGCTCAACAAACATGGGCTCCCAGGTGACCAGGTCCTGGTCTGTCCAGCTCCTCTTGACCTCTACCTGGATCCCGTCTTACACGTGGGTGCCCCTACTTCTTCCCCGCACAGTCACAGAGACTCTCGTCGCAGACATTCCAATCTCTCCTCCTCCCTCCTCCCTCCTCCCTCCAGATT